CTTTCAAAAGGACAAAGAGCAGCTGATAAGGGAGGACACACAATACTTGCATGTGTGTGTGTGGATGAAGGCTTCTCACCACGTTCGCTGGTACCACCCTCTCACATGGAGATCATAGGGACTTCCTCTTTTAAATGCCCAGGTGTGTGTGTGTGTGTGTGTGTGTGTGTGTGTGTGTGTGTGTGTGTGTGAGAGAGAGTGTGTCCTCTGTGGGAGGAGTGGCCACTGACAGAAGAAACTTGGCCTTGTCTGTCTTATGGAAATCTGAGAGATTCCCAGAGCCATCATAAAACTGCCTCTCTCTCTCTCTCTCTCTCTCTCTCTCTCTCTCTCTCTCTCTCTCTCTCTCTCTCTCTCTCTCTCTCTATCTCTTTTCTAACCCATTACGAGGTCACACACATTCCTGTCTTTATGAAAGATGATGTGTGTTGTCATTGGGGGTTCAAAGACAGACAGAGGGGGGCTCCGAAGTAAAAAAGAAAAGGACACTAAGCGAGAATTTTCACTTGAGTTCTCACATGAAAGCGTTGCTCGCTCAAAGTCAAGGCTTTGGGAGGCCGGGGTGTGTGTGTGTGTGTGTTTTCAGAGTACTTTGATGGGCAATGGACAGAGTGAATGAGAAGCGTAGAAGAAAGAGAAGAAGAGAGGGGAGGATCGGAGGGGGGCTGAGAAAAGAGGAAAGTAGAGAGCCGGGGTCTAGGTAATTAACGCCGAGCTCTTTAATTACTGCTGGTGTTCATTGTGCCAGAAGGAATGTGACAATTATGCCATTAAAACTTCCTAATGGGGCTAAAAGCGAGGGAGAGGAGGAGGAGGAGGAGGAGGAAGGGGGGATAACGGAAGACATGCAAAAGAGGAGGATGAAAGAATGAAAGGAAAGAGGCAACAGAAGGAAGAGAGAACGACGAGAGGGAGCGAGGGAGGAGGGATATGAAAGGGAAAAGGGAAACAATCGCGACAAAAGAGGAGCTGGGAGGGAGATGGGGAGCGTATTAGGCCAGCACAGTGACAGAGCAGATTAGCATCAAACAAGAAAGGCCACAGACGTGTGTGTGTGTGTGTGTGTGTGTGTGTGTGTGTGTGTGTGTGTGCGTGCGTGTAAATGTTTGTGTGTGATGGCTGAAACAGAGGACATATTCATTCCAAAGACGCCACCAAGGTGGATGGAACTTTGATGATGCAGAATCTGGCAAAGGGAAAACTTGGTGTGTGTGTTTGTGTGCTTGCTGAATCTGCGTAGGCTCATGTTTCAAGTGGTGGTGCAGGCAGGTAGGGGAGGAAGAGGAGGAGGAGGAGGAGGTGTAGGAGAAAGGGGAGAGATCCACAGAAAAGGGCCTTGGGGGCATCCTGATACACATCCAGTACATTTCCATCTTTCTACCTCTATGACTCACACACACACACACACACACACACACACACACACACACACACACACACACACACACACACACACACACACACACACACACACACACACACACAAACACACACAGAGACTGAAAGACATAACAAATGTGTCCATGCACATATGTAACACACACACAAACACACCAGTCCCACACAAACATCAAACAGAAAAAAAAAGAAAAAAAAAAGACAAAACCCACGCTGTCATACACACACAAATAACACCCACACACACACACACAAACACTTACACGCAGAGTCTTCGTGCTCACCAAGGCGGTTGGTTTGTCAGGGGGGTTAGAATTTGCATGGCTGGGCAAATTTTCCTTGTGCTAAACCCTAATCAGCTCCTGTATCTCTCAGACACCTGCCCAGCAAAAAAAACCTTAATATGCAAAACAACCTCCCCTCCCTCCATCGTTCCTCCACCACCGCTGCACCTCCTCCTCCTCGGCCAACAGAAGACTTATTCACCTGGCCTACCGCACTCTTTTCCTCTCTGTCTGTCTTCTTGCAAATTTTCCCATTTATATATGCAAATAGGCTGTTCCCCTCAAGCCTGTTTCAACAGCAGCTTCCTGGTGCCAGGAGATAAATGATGGGATTGTCTCAGATGTGACTCAGAAAAAGACACAAGAGGGGTAAAGATGGCATGTTGCACGGACAGCACTTTAGTTTAGTGCTGCATGGAAAAGTTTTTAGATAGAAAGTGGTGGTTGTACTTGCCATGGTTTCATGCAACCAGTCAAGAGTCATGCACGCAAAGAATGTCAAAGAATCATTGGATTGATATTCTGTTCAAAAGTTCAAAAGAATATGAAACTAAGATTCTTTTTGAATGAGTTTGTCTTGTTAATATTTATTTTAATTACTTTACAAAAAACCCTCTAGTAGTTACATTAAGGTTTGTAACAATACCAGATATTAAAACTTCAATACGATTCTAGCAAAAAATTGTTGTTACATGTTTCGATACAACAACAATATAAAAATGTGTTGTAAAATTTTGTGTTAAATTGACAAAGTTAAAGGCAAACTCCTGCACACTGTCCAAATTGCACAAATATGTTGGCAATGTTTCAGTACCGAAATGTTGCCAGCATGTTTGTGTACTTTAGACAGTGCTCTCTCTGCTTGGCTTTCACCAGCTTTTGGTTTTGAAAATATGACTGAAGAACTGCCTTTTTTTTTAAGCTTCAGAACTTTTCGATTCTATCAATCATTAAAATGAATAATTGGATCGTTTTAAAACACATGGTATTGAAAGTATTTCACATTTGGACAATCTTAATTACATTTTTTCAGTGAATTATTGTTAAGGCACAAATCTGTACCGAACTCCCACTTCATCCAAACACAAGTTTTCTTGAAGGTCACTTTTCTCACATGTGACTCGTGTCTAAAAATCAAGACTATAAAATTGAGGCAGGAACTTGAGGTTGCACTTTCACTCAGAATGGACTTCACAGTGAAGTATTGGAGATCTTTTGTTGAGCGGTGAGGGCTTTGAAGTTAGATTAAGCACTTATTCATTTTTCTGGATTAAACATTAAGGAGACCATTATAGATGTATCTTAACCTGTCTAAGAATATGTGCTGAAGTCCATCTCCTACTTCTTTGTGACAAAAACAAAATCAAGTTCTTTGAAGCTGTCTTTTTTTGTTAGATATTTGCCCTGAAGGGACTTACTTTTCCTGTTAGAACATGCCAGGGTACTGACTGTTACAGGTATTTTCCTTACAATTTTTTGGTTTAAAAACCTTGCTGGGTTTAAAATCTACACTTTTCTGGACCTAATTAAGGCCATTTTATCTTCTTGATTTAACCTTATTCCTGTTCACTAAAAAAAGTTCTTCACCAGTCATAAACTCCTGAACAGAAGATATCATGTCATTTTTCTTTGTGCTCTGCTCTGATGGACTTTAGGGTGATTGAGACCTCATATGTACGAGTGCTTCTGCCTGCCAGAGTTGTTCAAAGCCTCCCTTAAGAGGGACGAAGATGGATGTGGCAAAGTGTGTGTGTGCTTGTGTGTGTGTGTGTGTTTGGGTGCACAGAGAGGAGCCCCAGTGGACAAATAACGGACAGAGAGAGATAAAGAGAAAGAGGGAGAACCACTTTAAATGTGAGCACTGCAAAACTCCCACTGCTCGCAAGGGCACTTCTCTCCTGCACATCATCTCTCTTTCCCCCTCTCTCCCTATACCCTTCTTTCTCCCCTTTCCATTCCCCCCAATTCCCTTTCTCCTTCCTCCCCCCCTCCCTCCCTTCATCTCTCTCTCCTTTGTCTCTGAGCTCTCACCCTCTATCCCCTATCTATCCATCTCCCTCTTCCCCCTCTCCCCCTCTTTCTCTCCCCTTCCTCTCACTAAAACAGTAGGACGCTTAACCTTGATAACAGTGAGATTTTTTCCCCCCTCAAAGTGACACACACACACACACACACACACACACACACACACACGCGCAAACACACACACACACTAGAGAAGTGCTTTGCCAGCATGCCAGTCCGGTCCAAGGGACGGCTGTACACTTCGAGGTGAACAGGACACTGGGAAATGCAGCAACAACAAAACACTCACACACACACACACACACTCTCATACATAGACTCCATCTTTCTAACAAACACACACACACACACACACACACACACACACACACACACACACACACACACACACACACACACACACACACACACACACACACACACACACAAGAACACATTCACACACACACACACACACACGAACCCAGATCACTCCAGGTCCTTCTTAGCGCAAACCTTTTAAAGGTCTATTGTCAGCTGACATTGAGAGAGCACTGGCAATCCTGAAGGGCCCCCACACCCACACACACACACACACACACACACACACACACACACACACACACACACGCACACTTACAGGCAGTGGCAAAAGGAGAAGTGTATGAAAAGAAACGTATTAAAGGTGAAGTTACCTGCTGTATATTTATGATAACAATACACTGGAAGACACACACATAAACATCTCACCACAGACAATAAGGTAAACGAGAAGAGGGAAGTAAAAGGTTGTTTCTCAGAAAACAATCTCTTACACATACGCACACACACACACACACACACACACACACACACACACACACACACACACACACAGAAACACTTAGGGGAAATAACAGTGGGGAAGAGGCAAAACGAACAAAGCGTAGGTAACTTTTCTTCCTCATTAGAGTTCCTCACATCTTTACATAGGAGTACTTTACAATGCATAGTTTGGAGATAAAAAAAAAAAAAAATTCTAAATAAACTAGAGGATTCATTCTTCTTGACATGTTATTTAAAGGATGAATAAAATGTACATTATAGTTGTGTGCAGAGTACAGCAGGAGTTCAAGTCACTCGGACTCAGCATTGAGGCGGTCACAGAGGACACAATGAGATGGTGTCAATCAACCCCTCTGCATCCCCAAGTGTTACGTGAAATTAAAATAAAAATTCTAAATAAGGTGCACTTGTTCTCAGCTCGGCCTTATTGAGAACAAACGGAGTGTAGACTGAAGCTGCTTTGAATTAGCTTCAAGTGTCAGTGTTTACCTCAAAGTCGTTGGCCTTGTTGTAGTGCATGTTGAGTGCGCGGAAGAGCTCGCAGTCACGGCTGACGCTCAACTCCTCGTTGCCAGTGACTCCATCGTTGATTGACTGGCGGGCGAACTTCTCCATCTGGATGTAGTAGAACTCCCGGAAGTTGCTGAACCACTTGATCAGCTGGGAGGTTATGCAGCGGTTAAACTGGAATGAGAGGAAAAGGAAAAGGACAATTGAATTTAGATTTAAAATAAATCCACTGAGATCCGAAGACATCTGAATGCAATCGGTGTAAAGAAAAAAAAACATGGTCTAATCCTGATCAAGCTATGCGATTTGAGTCTGAGTGTAAGGGTGAGAGCGCTTAGTTTTACATCAGGGAGTTGAGACGTGAGGGACAAACTTAAAAGACTTTCAAGAGAAGGAAAAAAAAAAGAAAAAAGGATGAGAGCAAGAAAGATTAAGTTGTGGAGAGAGGGAAGATAATAGAGACATTAAGTAAGACAGCCAGCTAAGAGGTGAAGGGGGAGCTGTGTCTGTGTGTGTGTGTGGTTCATCTTTCCCGCTGGGAGCAGACCTCCCCCTGTCATAACCCTGAGAATGGAAAGAGAGAGAGAGGTGGAAAGGAGGGAGGGGGATAGTGCGAGACCGCAAACACATAATTGACCAGAAAAACGATTAAGTCATCATCTGAAGCGCCCCGGCCCGCAGGGGGCTCAAACATGTACTTAACCCCGTTCACCAATTACACCCTGATTCTACTCCCCTCTCCTCACCCCTCCCAAGCAGAAGGAAAGGAGAAGAAAAAGAAAAGAAAAGAAAGATGACAGACGATTGTGGCTATCTGATCTGGGCTGCTCGGCTGGATTCAATAGGAGAAGATAAACCTATTAAGAGGCTCGGCTGGGTGGCAGCTCTTTTTCCGCCTGGTTTCAGCAGAGAAAACACACTGTCTAAACATCCAAAAGACCAGATAAGGACAAACCTAGTGCAGTCACCCTTAAATACCCCTCTGAAGGTCTTAATTGAAACCCTAAAAAGCACAAAAAACAACAATCTCTCCTCAGTGACCCCAGATATAACTTCTAATAAATTGTAACCTGTGATATGTTTGATACTCATGACCATCACCACTCCCTCAGTCCACATACACACCAATACACAGACACACACATGCACACACAGGCTGTCACTCCCTCCCCTCTGCTCTTTTTGTGGCACTGGAAGAATGGGGGGACAAAACACTACTAAACGCTGAGCAGACTGCTCGCTGGGGAGGCAGAGCAGTTTTGACATGGAGATTAGGCACTGGCCATTGTTTGATAACACACACAGCCGCGCACAAACATGCACACGCACTCTCCGCGATCTGCAGTCCGCCGTCGAATAAAAACACACAAGAAGCACATGAAGATGGGAGGGCGAGGGCAGACAAGACAGGCAGAAAAGTGGGCGAATCAGGGGGAAAGAGTTAGACCAAGGGATGGAACCATGCCTTTCAGGAATGATACATAGATGACATAATGGCAGAGTGGAAAACAGAATAAGTCTGCTTGACATTGTTTGGCGGGGGGGGGGTTTGGAAGGAGGAGGGGTGGTGTGGTGGCTGTCGTAAAGTGCAGGGTGAGCATAAATAGGGAAATGAGGGAGGGAGGAGAGGAGGACGGGTGCAGGTCAGTGCTGTCGGACAATGGTGTTTCGCTGGTGATGGCGGGGGGGGGGCAAAGAGGGTTTGGAACGTGAGCAGTCAGCAAGCTGGGGTCGTGACATCGGAGTGTCAAACAAACAAACTACTGACACTTACAAATACACCGGCTGCACGGGCTATTCTTAAACACACACAATGAGGCAGACAGTAGGAGTGTGACAGAGCACAAAAACACAATTTCGGGCAAGATGTCAGCGTCATGTAAACCTTTTTTTTTTTTTTTTTTTTTTTTTCGTGAGTAAGATCAGAAAAAAAATGTGTGCTAGCTGTGAATCTAAGACATTACAGAATTGGTGTTGATGTATGCAGGCCTTCTGAGTGCGTGCAAGATTGAGCACCACGTTCTTAAATTAAAGGCGGTGAAAGAGTTACCATCGCTCATGCAGGAGACCTTTGGTGTCACTGCATCTGAGTGACGGATAGATTTGTCACTTTGGACAAGGATTACTTTATTATACCGACAGCTCAGGAGAAGATGTATTAGTTCCCGTGCAAGTGAACCGAACTGCAGCTCAATCACAGGAGAGAAGCACACAAAAGATTCAATATTTACTGTAGGTAAATACACTGAATTATAGTGCATCTGCACACTCAGGGACTCAATTTGGTCACATCCCCCTGCAGTTTCCAGCAGTCTTGGTTCATTAGGTTGCTGGTGGGAGGGGGGAGGGAGGGGGGCAGAGGGGGCTGATAGCAGCTAAGGACGAGTGTGTTCAGCGTAAAAGGAGGGAATGGGTTCAAAGGAGCACATAACTGCAGCAACTTAATAAGAGCTGGCAGGGGTCAGCCAGCACAGACATGAGACGCAGGGAGGAAAATGTGTGTCTGTGTTTGTGTTTAGCATATGTGTGTGTGTGTGTGTGTGTGTGTGTGTGTGTGTGTGTGTGTGTGTGTGTGTGTGTGTGTGTGTGTGTGTGTGTGTGTGTGTGTGTGTGTCGGACTGAGAGCCAGATGAGAGAGCGACAGCAAGAGCGTGTTTCTCACACTCACACTCAAGAGCCTGTGAAAGGTCAGCGCTTAGTGCTAACAGCGTACGATAGAAGGTGGCACACACACACACACACACACACACACACACACACACACACACACACACACACACACACATGCACACCACACGTATGTTATGCTCATGCACAGGCACATACTTAAGTCCAGAATAGGAAAACACTCAAGTATCCTTGGCCTAAACTATATTGGTCGCCTGCCCAAGGTATTTAAGCACTTCTGCACACACACACACACACGTATCTGCTTTTTTTTCCCAATATATAAAAAATCAAGTTGGTGTTACAGATGCAAATTCTACTTTATTTTGCTGAAGTGGGTCTCTTGCCAACTTTGTCTCTGACACAGTGACAAAACAATGGAACAGAAAGCACACAGGTGACCTCACAGTTCTAAGCTACATCCAGAACAACCCAAGAGAAGGGCAGAAAGACAGAGAAGCCTGTACGGGCCTCACTCGCTTTCTCTCTTTCTCCCTCTCTCTCGCTCTTGCTCATAAGCCCCTTCACAGTCATCAGGGCTTTCCAACGTTTCCTGTTTTCGCAGGGGTGAATTGTGGGAGATAATCTCCGGCTGCCTATTGGCTGACTGCACACAAAAAGCGGCCCTGGAAAGCGGGCTTTTGTTACTGCAGCGACTCAAATCCAGCGGCAGGCTTTTCTTTCTCGCCGGCCCCACCGAGGGCACACATACCATGCCGCCACCACCACCATCATCAGCGAAAAAAAGAAAGGAGAAGGAATGACATATAGAAAAGGGGAAAACCCTCCTGACCTCTGGTACACCACAGCACATGACATGTCCCAATATGATAAGAGCCCCTGATGGACAAAGGAAGCAAGGTGTTTTTGTCTTGAGTTTGGTTGGCTAACAATTTAAAGGACTATTTACTTCTAAAAGCCATACAGCTAGAAACACAAAAAAGTGACTTAAATTGACTTACAGTTAACTTTAGCTGACTTTTATTTAATCTACTATAAATATTTACGCCTCATTATAAAAATGTCTTCTCTAATTATGAGACTTCTTAAAGACAGTGGGATGATACTATAAGCAGTCATCAGCAGCTTCAACAATGGTATTATGACGCGTCTGTCAAAACATTTCAGAAACACCAAAAGTCACAAAGAAGTCACAATAGTCTTAAAGAGAGCTTAATCAAGGAGAACAACAGCTACGGCGTCTCCTGGTTGTAAGGGCAACCCACTTCCCACGTTCATTAGGTCCTTGACAGTCAAGACCTGATTAGTGGAGACCTGATTAGCCTTCAAGACTTAAGTCTGAGGACAGCCGCTCGCTAAGAGGCCTTGCTCACTGAATCTCATTAGATAGTCAGTCTCATTCCCATACATGTCTACTAACTTAAAGCCTTAGACCATTGTCCTCCTCTGAAAACAAAACAAACTAATGTGACTCATAATCCCCTTAACTATCTTGACCTTGTTTAAGTATCTGATGAGGCTATTCATGAAGGGGCCACCTACTTGATCATTCAGTGAAACAAAGTGGTTGTAATCTTAAATGGCAATTGTTGCTGTGTGTTTTTAACAGAAAATTACACCAATGTGGGGTGCTTTAATATTGAGGACTTTTGTAACCGATCAGTGTTTGCAGGTGACGAATCATGCTCTTTTCAACTTGCCCAATCATCTGCTGCCACAGACATGGTTTGTGGCACAAGCATCCAAGAGAGGGCAGCTGGAGAAAAAAGGGGACCTTTATCTCTGATTTGAATAAGATGGCCTGGATATGTCACAATGTTTACCCCTCCGTATGGTCTGAGAGGGGCACACACACGTCACCGCAAACAAACTCGGCAGTGCACACTACAACGGCTATTGTTTTGTTGTTCTTGTGTTTTATGCGGCTTACATATCGGGCTTTGTTCACCAAACTTCCGTCTTTAAGCTCCCCGTCAATTTAACGCTCATCCTCGCCATTTTCCATTCTCTCCCTCCCTTTCTTTTTCGATCCGTTTTCCGTACACCTGCTCAGATAACCACCACCCCTCCGTCTCTAGAATCCATCCTCCTCGCTGCCCTCTCCACCCCTCCATTACTCATCCTGGTCTTTATCTTTAGCATACTCATAGGCTCTCCAGCTCCCTCGTGTAAACCCATTCAACTTCCTCTTCGTTCATCTTTTGCATAAAACCATATCTTAGTTAGGGGAAAGGGCCTTATTTAAAGAGAAAGAAAGAAACACTGTTCATGGCAACTGAAGCTTCCACATCACAAATAACAACTTCCCCTTTAAAGCAGGTGACTTTCCAGGCGTACAAGTGGAGAATGCAGTAAAAGACAGGAAATAGAAAACAAGATCGCTATCTATCTTTACACTTCTTCAACAAGAAGTTAAGTGTAGACATGATCCGATATGTATTTTCTTTCCAATGCTGATTCTCATTTGTAGGCTTGAATATTGGCAGTTTCCAATAAAAAAAACGTAATATTGGTTTAAATAAAACACACATTACTGACATTTTGCGAGCTTCAATCACAACTCTCTGCTGGTGCTACACTGTTGTATTTTTTGTTTGTTTGTTTTTTTCTCATCATAATTTACCTGAAACCAGTCAAATTTAAGTGGTCTTAATGGGTTTGGTTTTAAAACGGAGATACTGGCATATTAGGCAAAACCAGATACTGCATTTAAAAGTCGATACTTCTAGTGATATTAATCTTAAAATTATTGATTCATATTAAATTATTGAATTTCTTTTAATCAAGACAATTAAATATAAATCAAGACAGTAAAATATACCAAAACAAAAAGGGAAATGTTGTTAAGGTTATAAACAAAGAAAAGAAGAGGAAGAAAATGCTTGGACTTACCTTGACATCAGAAAAGAACATCTTCAGCATATTGGAGCTTGGGTAGCGAGTGTAGAAAAACATGAGCTTGGCCTTCTTCAGGTGATTAGGGGAAAGACCCTCTTGGATCTGAAAATGTCTGCCATTAAGGAAATTACCAACTGTGTTTGGAAAAAAAAAAAACTTAAGGAAGATCAAGGAACACAATACAAGTGGCTAATAGTTTGTACTAATGTTTGGCAAGAAATTATCATTTGGATAAAGGGTAACCAAATTTCCTTTCAGGCATGAATGCAGCACTGCTCAAGGGGGGGGGGGGGGGGGGGCTGAAGACAGTGCACCAAAGCAAAACCATTTGTTTGCAATTACCATCGTCTGTATCAGGTGTGAGAGCGTCACGCTAAATAAAGCGCCGGCCAGCACAACAGCCGATGCTTTTACATAAGGCGGCTCATTTCACAGTCAAAGTAAGCAAACGCCTTTGCCTACACCCCATGCTTACATCCACCAAAAGAAGGAAGAAGAAAAAAGAAGACATTTGCATATCACAGACAAAGACAGCAGTTAACGCCAGTGACGGGCAAGAAGGCCTAATGGCTTGGCGACAACACATGCCAAGCCTGAATATGACTGTCTAAAGTTGGCTTCATATCAGTGACAGAACAAGGTCTGGGAGATGGTACCAAACACTGGCCTAAGCAACATGAAAAACCTCCACACCCACACAGGCCATATTCAAAAATACATGTCAGAGGCCTTGTCCTTCTAATGGATCGCCTGGATTGAACAGCATAGATGAAGGAGATGGGCTGGTGGGGGCACCTTGAGGGATAGTATGGTTCCAACCTTCAATTACATCCCCCTCCTCCTCCCTCTGCTCCACCCCTGCCCCCCAGCCTCTCTGCCGCTGCCAAACCCTTGGAGATGCAAAAAGAAGGAGGAGAAGAGGGGCTCTGAGGCTTTGGACACAGCCAGCAATGGGGGGGACTGAAACACATCTGCGCCACTGAACGGCCCAAGCCATTTCCATGGTGAATTAACGGCCGTATAATGCATCTGATAATATCAATCTGGAGGATAAGACATTGAAAAAGGGAACAGGGATGGGGGGCAGGCTGCTTGTTAAAACCTCAGGCTGTTCAACAAGGGTTTCCATCATGCACTTGCAAGACAGGGCTTTAAATTACACAGAAGATACAAGCCCAAGTTTTCATAAAGACTGTTTACACTTGAGCGGACAAAATACATTGCTTGACATTATTTATGATCTACAGGGGTGGCTGTGGTCATTAAAATCAGTCAAGTGTCCAGATGTAGCTGTAACTATAGAGCGGGAAGAAGGCATCAGCTGCTAGATTGGATTGCCCTTGGCCTCAGGGCTACACAGCAAAGCCAGCAAAAGCTGAACCACACTGAGCTGGCTCCTTAAAGACCCTGTCTACTTTGTCTGATTCAGGGAAAGAGAGAGCATTGGTTGTATACGCAGCAAGGGTCTTGTGGGGGAAACCCTGGCAGACTGGTGTTACTCTGTCAGGCCTGGCCAAAAGAGCAGCACTTCACTCTCCACACCACACCATCTGCTCCAAGTGCAGGGGATACAATGGATCCTCAGACAGAGAGGGAGGGAAAAAGAGACCTCTTTTTCAGTAAGGCAAGGTGGGATGTATTTGAAAGCTGTGCACTCACACTTAGATTCATTTCTTTTTACTACTTCAATTAGGATTAGCATCCTTTTACCCTAATCGTTGAAATTAAAAAATATTTTAAAAACAAAGACATCCTGGTTTTCACCTCTCAAGCCATAAACACAACATCACCTCCCTTCAGATGACAATTAGGAAGCTTCATATCTCCTGATGAGGCATTTTCATCTCCAATTCACTCACAGCTTGCAAATGTAATTGTGATTGGACTTAGGGGTGACGTGCACGGCTATTATTTTGTCATGATGGCACACTCATACCAGCTGGCCCACTGTTTGCCTGCCACATCTGACAAGACATCATCATTCTCACAACACTTCCCCAAAGCCCAAAGTCATGAGAGGAAAATAGCTGCACCACTTCCTAATTCCAGGTGTAAGGACAAGAATATTTGGAGTCGGTCTGAGAACAAATGGGGAAATTGATTGCAGCCATCTGCTCCGTAGCGCTGAAAAAACCTTGTGAACTTGAACGCACCTGCAAAATGTCTGACAAACTGTCACTGGCAAAAAAAAAAAAAAAAAAATATATATATATATATAGGTATATATTTTTTTACAACTGTCAAATCAGCTATTGGTAGGGAAAAATTGGATAAAGATAAACTGATCCAGAGAAGTCATGCTAATTATAATATATATTTTTACGCATAATATATATACGAATCTATATTGTGTACATGTGAAACTTCCTACTGTAAACCTGTGGATTTAACTATGTGAATCAAAAAAAAGAGGAAAACAAACACCTATGTGTTCTTCCTCCATTTGGGGGAGTACATCTGTTAATGCCCTGCATTTATAAATGCTACTATGAAAGCCACAGCATCTGGCATATGTGGTTATCGTTTGATTGTTTTCTACTTTCTCTCTGTCTCTGTGTGTCTCTCTCTCCCTTTTCTCTTTTCATCCCTCCATCGGGAACCCGTAGAAGCAAAGGATTATGGATCTCTGGAAAGCATTCACCCTTGGGTCAGAAGACAAGACAAGGCGAGGTAATGAAAGATAAACAGCTCGCTGCAAACACCTGTTAACGTCTGCTTCAAAGAAAAGACAGGGAGGAGGGGGTTTGCAGGAGGGAAAAACAAAAAAAAGAAGTATTTGGCTGCCAAGCAACAGCCAAAGGGCCCCCCGGGCTGTTGACAGATCTTTATGAAATGAAAAAAAGAGAAAAGAAACGACAATGATTGTGGGCTTTTTACAACAGCGATGGATGATAAGAGGAACACAAGAGAAAACACAAGCAATCATAAATATACATCTTTACTGAGTCCTCAGGCGAACCTTTTGTGACACGCACTCACGCAAAAGATACACACACGCACACTGACACATACACATCTGAACAGGCTACGCACTCAGGTAAAAACAGGAGACAAAAAGGTGTCCAAAGCACTATATATACTTATATTTTTAAGAAATAGAGGTTGGATTAAGTTCTTAATATAGTGATGAATGTTAATTACTTGAAGACAATGCTTTCTAAGATCAACCAAGAGGTCAAACTTTCACAAGGGCCAAGGAGTGTTGAATACTTACGGACTAAGGAGTCAAATGGGAAACAGAGAAGGAACTGAATGTATCTGTTTAAGCTATTAGTCCTGAGTCTCTGTGGGATTCAATTTGAGCCTCCCATAGGGGATAGCCTCTTTATCTCTAGGGCATGATTGGGGCACACAGAAGTTAACCTATAAGGGAAGCTATATAACACCATTGTGTGCCAAGTTTCAGGATAGTATCTCACTCCTAGCTCTTTTAGGCCATTTTTGTAAAAAGAACTGGGGCAGTAAATATCGTGGGGACCTAATCTTTGTGAGTAAGTGATATGTGACAAGAAAGCTTTTAAGGCACTTAGGATTGAAGATGGAAGAAAAGGCTGTTCGGTGCTGTGAGAAGGAAGAGGTATGAGTGTAAAAATAAATACAACAATGCAGTACAATGGAGAGGAGAACAGCAGTGGGAGGAAAAGTGATTCATCAACAATTTCTCAGATTCTTAGGCTAGTTTAAACAGACTAAAAAAGATTTGATTTTTAACTCTTTGGGGCTCAGATGCAACCTTGCACACTTGTCTCTACCACCCCTACCACATGAGCTGGTTCAAGGTAAATAAATTATTATTGCCTTTCTACCCTCTGAAAACACACTCACTACACAGATATTTTTAAAGGATACATTGCTGCCTGAGTAGGGTGAGATGTCAGACATGTCCTGGAGGTCACCGCATTCAGACTTGATGAGGGACAGGGAGAGTCCCTCAGCTGTGCTGCCAGGGTGCGCTGGTGAAAGAGAACGATGGTGGTGCCCAAGGTGACCTGATGCCATCTTGGTCCTAAGGCTGGTGGTCTCCCTGGACAGGTCCATGGAATCTGGTGAGGAACGGTCCTTTCCTGGGTAGCCACCTGTAGGTGCACCGAGGTGACTCTGGAAAGGGTAGCCCATGAGAGGCAGTGGAAATGGGTGTCTAAAGGATGGGGGGCTGAAGCCCATGGATGCAGAGAGTGAGGAGGGGTGAAGGGCAGGGTGGTGGTGTCCACCATGAGCACCCACAGCTGAGGACTGGTGGTGGTGCTCACTGGGGGTCTTCCTCACGACTAAGGGCAGTGCCTCGGTTTGGTCATTGGTGGCACCTGGCATTCCTGGCATGCTTGCAAATGAGTCTAGTGGATTGGGAATGATGACATCACCAAAGCACTGCAGCCTCTGGTTAGCGGTGTGGAAGTTGGGGTTGTCTCCATTGACAACAGTGGGGAATCTTTCTGGAGGTATGGATAAGGGTGGAAAGGCCTGCTGGGGTGAAGGGCGGGGAGGCTTGGCAAACACCTTAACCACTGTGTCCACCACTTGGGTCATGGCTGAATTAAGTTCTTGCTTCAGTGTTTCTGCCAGTTGTTTACCTTCAGCATGCATGGAGGAGCCTGGACCTCCCGTTCCTTTGCTCCGGCCGATCCCCTCTCTCCTTGGCTTCCCTCCGTCTGCCAGCAGGGCTTGCTCCTGAAGCAAAGCCCTTGCCCTGTCCAGGAAATGGCCGGGGTCCAGGTCAGACATCTCATTGTCAGAGCGCAAGTCATCTCCACCGCGGTCATCACCGCCGGTGTCAGACCTGACTGGGCTGTCCTCGGACATGTTTCCTATGTCATTGTGGAGGTCATTGTGTTCCGAGTCATCAGTCGAGTCGTAGATCTGAAAGAACTTCTCCTGCAGCTGACGTAGCTGCTTTTGCATGTCCTCCAGCTGAAGCTTCAGTTGCCTTCGCTCCTCCTGCTTCTGTTCCTTCCTCTGGCACACCAGCTGGGTGAAGCTCTGCTGTTGCTGCTGAGGAAGACGCTGCTTACGCTTGTTCTCTCGGCTGCTACTGCTGCAAACCTCACCTCCTCGTGGGCTGCTTGGGGCATGTTGCTGAGACTGAGGGGGTGGACAGTCTAGCTCGATCTCCCTATCTCCATCCATCTCATGGTCACGCTCGTGACGTGAAGCAGCAGGTACCACAACGCTGGGTGAATGGCTCATACCACGTATAATGTTTTCTACCCTGGCTCGCTTGGCACGCAGGTGTTCATCGTTGAGACGTTCAATATCAAAGGCGGCCAGACCAGGTGGACGGCCAAACGGTGACAAGCATTCTTGAGGGGTGCTGTCCTGGGAGGAGTTACTGCAGGCATCCTCCTGGTGAGCATCTGAACTTGCATTGGAAAGTCCTGATCCAGGGAAGACGATGTCCCCTCTATCACCTCTGTCGCCTCTTTCTCCCCTCTCGGGTCCTCCTCCATTTTTAGCCATGTTATTCTTGAGAAGCTGGGAGATAATGGTGGTGCCAGGGAAGGGCATCATGCTGTCCTCGTATGAGTTGGCCCTCTTCAGTAGCTTCCGGAGTACATTGGACTTGGACTCACTGTCGCTGGCTGATACAACGCCAGGCCCACCATGTGGCTGCACTACAGAGCACTCCATGGAGTCGTTGTCTGATCCGTGGTGAGAGTGGGAGCTCAGAGAGTTCATGGCACTGAAAATGGCTGCTTTGGCGCGGGCAATGTTATCAGTGGTTGTTGTTGTGGCTGAGGCTGCGGAGGAGGCTGTGCTGCCCACGGTCCTCTTAACACCAATGTCCACACGTCTTCGCTTGGTCTGTCTGTTCAGGAGGGATTCGCTGTCATGGTCCGGCATCACGGGCTGCTGCTATTGGGCCATATCCCACAAACCCAGTCCTCTAGGATCAAAGCCTCTGAGTACCTGTTGGCAAAAATTCACACATTTATGACTCACCAAGGTGAAAAATGTTTTCAGAATCTAAGTCGCTCACTTAGACGGGACACGTTCTAGAACACAATCAAATCTACCAACCGCTACAGAAATGCTGATATTATTAAACCAAAGAGTTTTGAGAGGAGGCAATCCCTCCTTATGTATCTCCCTGAGAACAGTGACATTTAATTTGATATATAAAGTTGTGAGGAAAAAGGGGTGAACAGTGAAAGTGAACAGGCAAGATGAGGTCAGAGTTAGGCCTTGGATCGACATTCCAGGACAAAGTCCTACATTTTATCCTGTCCCCTTTTACACGCCGCGCGACACTGAACCAGTTCCCACGGAACACAAAGCTGCATAAAATTATGATAATTACTTAAGTACTTGTCCTCATTTCCATATTTGTGTGGTGTGAGCCAACATAGAAGCTATTAACAAACAAAATTAAATTAAAAGAACAAGGTTAAGACTATCTTAAATGTGTGGTGTAAAAGAGGAGTAATTGCAAATAGAACATGTACACTTAAAACATCTTATTCAGAAAGTGAGCTCTGGTTGCATAAGATCAACAAAACATGCTAAATTTAAACCATGTTTTAAATGTGTTATTCTAAAATGTAACATTTGTGTTTAAATCAATATAACCATCATATCTTAAGCAATGGGGATGGTGACAGATAAAAGAAAGACAAAATAGGCCTATTGATTTTGGTGCCAGCGTGAGCTCACTTCTGTGTTTTTTGTTTGTCTTTTCATCTGGCAAGGGCAGTTAATTCTGCTCAAATGAATAGGTCGCAAGGGTCAACTCTGGCAAGGAGCAACTTAAAGCGCTCATACAAAAACCCTAATGCCTCCCTGAAAACAAAACGTTTTGTCAGAACGGGCCTGCATCATTAATGCTATGTAAGCAGCAGTGGCAGTGTCTTAGTCACAGCCATATCAGATGCATCCAATCTCAAATGAAGTGATATTATCAAAGACAATCTCAATGCTTCTCATTACAAAAAATATACATTGACATGTTAATCGACTGTTAATGAAACAATGTTTTATATGGGAATAAAAGTAGCAGATATTTAAACAATTTACAGAACAATTAGTATTTTTCTTTTTACACTCCAGAAAAACATCTCCCATTTCAAACTCTCAGTGGCTCAAACAAAAAACTATAAATTATAACAAATTCAAAAATTATATCTTAACTTCAGTTTTATAGTAAATATTCTAGCTATTCATTTTTTGTCATTATCAATACAAGAACGTCACTTTAACATTCTAAGATCAATCTTAAATACATGTATTTGACGGCTCTGCTTCAGTGCTAAGTGAGAAAAATACACTCCATCAATTTTTTGCTTTCACTTTTAAAGTAAACTGTATTATCTTATTGCTGAATATGGAGCGCACACATGCAACTTTGCTGTTGGCTTTGTTATACGCTATGTGTAGTGTACTTAACCACACAACTGTTAGAGTTCCACTCTGAATTTTAAAGATAAAACTGTACGCGTAAAAAACTGTTGCAGAGAATAGATTGGGTAAGATTGTTTGTTTTCTTCATTTAAACACAACTATATCCAACACTTTTCTTAAATACAGCCCTTAAAAATGGCTTTGGTCCAAGTCTTTATAGCCATATCAGCAGTTCAAACAAGAGGTGATATATCTCCAAGAAAAAAAACACTTGACTTGATCACTTAAGGGTCTTAACAATGAGCTTGAAATAGTCACCAGCACCTGTCTTTTCTGAAGGCGCACCTGTCTCCCATTGCCCATGCGCACTCTGTCTCTTGTAATAAAAAACCTTTCAAGTTATGAAGCACACATATGAACAGTATAGATGTGCACAAAGCTCCAAGTTCCATAGCCCTCAATTTGTTATACATGCTTCTTCACTGGAAAGCGTTTTTATATCTCGGAAAAGTTTAACCCTGACATGAGCAAAAGTACAAAATAATGAAAAAAGTTCAGGCTTGAAACATGGTCCATAACACACATTTCCAGTGACTTTTTTTGGAGTCAAACAAAAAGTCCAATAACATTTAACACTAAAATTGTCTATTTGATCAGTCAGTGGACTGATAAGATTTGAAAACCTGAGAGACACAGTTGAACACACTTATTTACACAACAATAAAGCCTATACCGGCAGCTTTTCATAACCATGATCCAAAAGTGCTGCCGGAGAGGACAGAGAACATATTCATAAAACAGGACAACTGACAATGTCTTTAACTTCCTGAGTAAGGATTTTGTCTCAATAAAAAATCATGTTTTAGGTGCTGAGGTAAGACCAAGCCCACAGGACAAAGACAAGATGAGGTACCAGCAAATTCATAGAAGAGATCAAACCCATAAAAGTCTCAGTTTCAGTCTAAAATCAACGTATGTTTAAATCTTGTTCCTCCTTGAAACAACACCGACAACAAAAAACTTGCTTCCCAAACTTACTTAGTAAAGTTTAAAATCAACTTGATCTCCGCCGTGATGAGGAAGGTTGGGCTACGGTCCGCAAATCATCCTCGAAAAAACACGGGCTGCACACGCAACTCTTTACAACACATCCAGATAAGGGGAACGAAACACAGCAAATAGTTCTCGTATAGATATGATTAGCTGCTGATCAGCAGAATAAATTTGCGCGTTAATGATGTTTGATTTGTTTATTTTTTCCACCCACCGCGCGCAAGCGATGCAGAAAGAGAACAAGAGAGAGGGAGGTATCCGAGGACAAGGTTACTTACCCTTTAGATGAAGAGGGGGATAACCTGAACTCCTACGGCGTCAAAAGGAGAGAATTAACGCAGCGGACTGCTGGATGCAGGGATACTAAAACAATTTCTCAGAGAAGAAAGAGCTGGAATAAAGTCGGCAGCGCGAGCAAAAGGACGAAAACAGGAAAAATATATAAGATGAAAAGAGCTCTTGCGCGTCGGTCTCTCTCTCGCTATCCTCTGCTGTGACTAAAAGAGTGAGAGACATAGAGAGAGTGCAAGAGAGAAAGAGAGGGACTGCGTGTGTGCGTCTCCGAGGCGCACTGGATGAGAGCACTGGATGCTGGAGCGCTCCTCTGCCACTAAGATTCACTTTAAGATGCGGCTGAAGGAAACAGGAAGACGTGCGCGTCACGAGCGGCGTGATGTAACTGTCGCTACCTACCAATAAGAAGCGTCCGTCCGGTCCGGAGAACAACGCACTGAACTTGACCAGGGAATGGGACTTGAGCATGCAACTAAAAAGAGAGAGAGAGGAAAAAAAGGATATACCACTTTTACTAATCTCTTTCTTCTCAAATCAACGTCCTGCGCGAGTAAGAATCATTACGCACTTTGACATTAAACCATTATAACACATATTCTACATGTTTGTAAACATGTATTGTCATGTTAAAGTCTAATACTGATAGGCTCCTATAATAACTAATAAAATAGGCTAAGTGTTGCTTTATTCTGATAAATTTCAAATAGTGTAAGAACAATTTTACGCTGATGTGTGCTTAGAAATTCATTTAATACATAGATTTGTATGAGATTAGCTTCCCCTTGTGTTGATTTATTAATTACATTAAGTATGACAAAAATGCAATATTTAATTAATTTTAGAGATGGATAGTTAATGTTTTAGAAACGTTCAAATGTTCCTTGCAGCTGTGACATTTAAATGCTTCGAATATGTTTATGGAGATCTAATAAAACACATTAACATCCATAGAAGCCCCGGCTTTTTTTTTTTTAATGATAACCCACTTCCTAATTTGATCCTTAGTATCTCCGGTTTACGATTATTTATTAATCATGTTTTTTATTGTTTTTTATTGTTTTTTTTACATTGTCCTGCAAACACAAAAGTTACATATTTTTAGAACACAGCTTCTCAAATAGAATAGGACTATTACGAGCTCCTCTGGGTATTGGAGGTTCAGAGTGGCATGTAGAGATATTTAACGTGCACAGTTTTCTCATTGGTTGCAGCAAAGTCTGATTTATGAACAAGCAAAGCAGCAGCGGAGCCTCCGAGCTTTGCTTTGGAATTCAGATTATCCGGGGAAGCCAATATCTGCGAAGAGCTAAACGTTTCTTTGTGAAATGCTCATGTGAAGAGCCGAATATCATCACGAAACGTCTGTCACTCGGATCCACAAGCTGCCACTGAAATATCCACGCGCCTACAGAATGCACCGTCATGAGAAAAATACTATTGAACTCTATGAAACTAGTAGTATATACATTTTAAAAATGCACATTTATGTTTAAAAAAAAATACAGATATTATTTATGAATTTATGTATTTCCTCCCTCCCTTTGAAACCACCCCACCTGTAAGGCTGAACCCTGCAGACTCGGACATTTGATCATGTCCGCAGATAAACCTGATGACGCTTTAGATTTATGAAAAGATTACGGCTGCTCAGCTTCATCCTCCCCTATTCTAAAGTTTTATATAAATACATTGCAAATTCCGCTATGAAAATGCTCAACAATTCGACCTATACAACAGGTGTTTAGGCTACATTTATTCAATAAAATAAACTATTTTAATCGATAGAACGAATCACCTTTATAACTTCATCTGCCTCTTAGCAAATATATAAAGCATCGCATTGGAAATGGAAGCAAGAAATAATCCTTAATTTTCTTTAATAACTAACGTGTTTATTATAGGGTGTAGTATCACGTTCCATTTTAAGGCCACGAAAGAAATTGTTGCTCATGCACTGGTGTTATCAGATCAGCGTGCTTTTGATCTTTCTTTCTTTTTTATCTTTACACTTTCGATTCAGTTGTTTCCCGCAGAATCTTCTTTTTTTATCCCCTGCACAAACAGGATCCTGAAGTACTTAACGATAAATCTTATTTTCCATATGCTCGTCTGTCAGCTGCCAAAAGGGAAAAGGCGAGTCTCTTTTCCATGTCGCAAGCAAGTGGTTTTTTTCTTTTGTTTTGTTTTTTTAGGCACAACGAATTGCAACCAAGTCAGCAAACTTTTGTGTCTGGAGTGTCTTTTCCAAAGCAGGTGTCCCTACCCCCTCCTGCTCCCTGCTCTGGCCTCTGGTTGGTTTGGCCTCGGCTCCCCTGGGTGCCGTCGGTGCGCACACAGGCTGGAAAAACAGGCCGGGACATTAAAGAAACGCGTGTTTGGAAAAGGAAGACTCGGATGAGGTGTAGAGGAAACGTGCTGCTTAACACTGGCTGCTCTTATCAGCGGCCCCGTCCAGGTGGATCGGCCCGGGGATTTATTTCAAACTCAACTTTCCCCCCTTTTCTCTTTTGGGTCGAGAGCGACACACCTCGATGCCCAAGACTTGACAATGCACGCTGGCATTGCGCACTGATGGCTGAAGTTATTGACATATTTATTACAGCAGGGCCCAAACGCAGAAGATGAGAGGAAATGAAAACAAAACGTCTCCCAGAGGTGTTATAAAGGCACTTTTTTAACACGATGACCTCAATTATGGGAGCATAAAAGCGCGCACGCGGTGATGGTATGCGGGAGTGGAGAAGAGCCAGTGGCCTATTTTCCCTCCGCAATCATTTTGATTAACGACAGGTCAACTGTGTTTATTATTAGAATTATTATCATAATCATTATTATTTGTATTCGTCAATTGCATTATTTCAAGCGAATTAAATACAGAAAATCAACAAATGTCAGCACACAGGTCGCCTGAATTGAAGTTACGTGGATCATTAATATTGAAAGATTGAATTCGATTGTTAAAAAACAGCAATCTCTTGAGCAGCATGCGGTCACAAAATGTCATTAATCGGATAATGACTTGATGAGCTCCTACAACAGCTCCATTTCTTTTCACAGACAGTTTTAAGAGGAATAAGAGAGAGAGAGGGAGAGAGAGAGCTATTTGCGAAAACAGAAGCAGGGAGAGATGGTAGCGCTAAAAGCTGTTTTGTTCCGGAGAGGTCTCCGGGTCCCTGAATAAAAAGGTTTAGGAGACAGGACAGAGGAGAGAAGAGAAGGAGACAGGATTATGCCGAGTGTATAAGTGAGTAGGCGTCTGACTCTCACAGCCTCTACAGTCCTTGTTGTGCCTCATGTCCGGCACTTAATGTATTCAGCTTTCACCAGCAAAGATGAGAAAAATATGTGGAGCATCAAACTTGTTCCTGCTGTCAGGCGAAATCCATTTCGAAAAAGAAGACAGTCAGTGTGACCTGAGCAAAACATAAGGAACGTCTATAGAAAAATAATAGAAATTTTACATTGATGTTATTATGAGTGAGATTACTTTTTGGCTGTCAGGGCTGTGATAGCTGTAACAGTGTGGCCCCCGATGACCCACATCCCTCTTTCCGGGCTGAAAGTACTGGTGATTATAAAGGTTTTGGGTGTTTTCGTGCATGTGAGTGAGTGTGTGTGTGCGTGTTTTCGTGCGCGTGTGTGTGTGTGTGGGAGAGACACACACACACACACACACACACACACACACACACACACACACATAAATATGATATATTTGCTTGAATGGGTGTAACCATTCGTGCACAAGCTGTGTAAGTCACCATTTAGGCTAGAAAAAAAAAACGTGAAAGTGTAAAACAAGATCGTACACAAACCAAGCATTAAATAATTACATACCAAAAATAGTAATTTTATAATTGAGTGATATTAAAGTTATAAAAAATACACACTCCGTATACAGAGCAACAGAGCAAATTTCTACACGCAAACATTTTTGTCTCAAGACCACGTCAAAGTTACCTCACATGGCCCCAAGCGAGTGTAAAACAGTATTGCAACACTTTTCTAGATCTGAGCAAATCATGTTTTCAAACCTGCTGGCTGAAACCTTAAAACAGGGCTCCATGTCTGGCCTGCATTGAAGGAAATAATAGGCACTTAAAATGAATGTGGTGTGGCTGATGGCAATATGGCTACAGTCAAACTCATTAAAACCCACCAGATTGTCTTAACCTCGTGATTCTTGTCCATGTGTAAAATCCTCGAGCGGATAGCAGAAATGATGCAGTTGATTCTAAAAAAGTCAGACACTTAATTTAAAGAGTCTCGTGAACAACCTTGAAAGTAAAACGCGTCTAAAATAATCGCTGCTTATGAGTTAGACGAAAGTCATCAGGAATAAAAGGGATCGCGCGCGCACACGTCAGCACGCGCACAAGCAGCCACACACACACACACACACACACACACACACACACACACACACACATAGAGAGGGCGCCTTGGAGGTGCTTGTGCGGAGAGACATGCCGGGAAATCGCCTGGAACTGTATTAAGCCTGTCGTCCTTTAAACAAACAATGGCACCATGAAATAAGGGCTTATGCGCTCAAAGTCAAAGAGCCCCCTCAGCAACTCTCCCTCTTTATCTCTGCCTCTGTCTGACACACTCACCATTTCTTGGGGGTTACACAGTGTGGTGCTGGCAGCTCCAGCGCGAGGGGACCAACTTCGTCCCATGGACTCTCACCTGTCAACACGGAGCAGAGGACTTTACTTTGTAAACACGAAAGGACTTTAGCATGTTTACTTCTGGCGGCAACTTCGCCTATTTTACTCACTGCAAGGCCGCGGTCACAGCTGGTCCTCCGGGTGCTTTGAGTGCGTGTCAAGGCGAGGTTAAATCCACGCCAAACTCCGTTCAATAAAGTGACAACTTTGATACGGCTGTAATGTTGCTGCGTCTTTCGAGTCTTATGATGGCAATTGTTCTTTGACAAAAATGTGCCTTATCGATGGGCTGCACAGACATAAATCCAAGTTGGCTCGTTTGCATTAATTTGACGTGCATCAACTTTTGATCCATTCTTCTTCTCTCGCTGCTCCCTCTGTGTAGGCTACTTTGATAGAGTGACCGTTTTTTTTTATTTTACATATAGTTACATTTATGGAAAGCCTGCATAACTTGAGGATGCGTTTATTGGTTCAGGTTATGGCTACATCTTTTTTTCGCCCCTAAAAAAACATTGGCACGAATTTCGCAGTTAACATGACCCATGGTTTGATCTTCCAGTGTGTCTATACTGGAAATGAGGAAAAAAAGAGAAAAGAAACAGGCTGTGGCAGATAAGCAGCGGTCTGTTTTCTGATTTGTCGGCGTTAGGGTAAGTTGTCCTCCCCGGCGGGGGGGGGGGGGGGGGCGTATTGTACTAGACTCACTCCTTGGCATTAAATGAAATTACAAGGAAAGGGAGAAGATATCCTACAATAACAGA